GACAGCGAAGCAGAGTGGCAAAGAAAAAAAATCAATGGAGCCTTTTTTTTTTTGTTTTTTAGTCATGTATTACTCCTGATTTCTGAATTATTCTTCACCTTTTATAGTAAATGCTGTTTCATAGTAAAAAAGAAATCTGTTAGTTTGATTCTAAAATGTTCAAACATGTGTTGAACATTTCTACAAGGAATAAATATAAGCAACTTATTCATTTTCAAATATAATACTCTCCAGATTTCAAGTAAGACATTACAGTTAAATAAAATGATTATGATTGGAGGCTTAACTTTAATCAATCAAACCAATTTGCTCAGGAATAAATTAAATACTTTAGTAAACCAAACATTTTACATCTAGATATTACCTGTTTGAATAATATCAGTGTTTCCATTCGTTGGGGAAAGCTAGCAAGAGTTTTTATAACAATGTGCCGGGAGTCAGGCGTTCTCTCCCGGTATGACAAACCTGGAGCGCCCGGCCAGCTGACAGCTGGCGAGGGGATTTGGCTGTTAATACAGCGGGAGCAGACATGTCCGAAAATGTTGGAGTAATATTGCAATTAGGTTATGTTTTGGTGAACCGAGCATATGTTTGAGACTTACACACTTACATTCTCGCCTAAAAACATTGTACCAAATTACGTTGTGTCATTTAAAGTGTAATGTAGCAAAACAATTTGCTGCTTTTAACCGCCATTGCCACTCTGCTACCCTAGCCTAGTTTGGACCCACAATGAATTATGGGATATGGTGGGTCATGAAGGATACACTGGACCCATCCTTCAAATCTGGGGAAAAGGAGGATGCATTTGGAGGACGCATGTGAAGGAGTCTTCGAATTCGGACAGGCCTTGTCACCATGCTATGACGTAATCAGCCTACAAATCGGTCCTTCGAAAGATGCAGACCCTGAATTTGGACACAATTCTAGTATCAGTATTGGACCAAAGAAAAGAAGGCAGTTGCAAGCCTTTAAAATTGTGACACTTTTGATGGGTCAGATAGACTCAAGAAACTGTAACAGCAGGTGCACAGGAGGTGATGTACTGGTGAACCATCTGGACAACAGTATTGCCAAATCAGCATTTTACACGTACTTCAACAAACCCGCTGTCATCTGGACAAAGCAAGCAGCACTGTGAGGATCATGTTTGTGATTTCTTTTGTGCATTTAACACAATTCAGCCTGATCTACTCTGTGAGAAACTCCAGAAGACAAAGGTGGAGGCCTCAACAATTACCAGGATCTATGACTACCTCACAAACAGACTGAAAGACTTTGTGTCTAACCAGGTGGTCAGCAACACAGGAGCACCACAGGGCACTGTACTCTCACCATTCCTTTTCTCTCTCTGTACATCTCAGACGTCCAGCACAAGTCTGACTTCTGTCGTCTACAGAAATACACAATTGACTCTGCAGTTGTCAGGTTTATCAGAGATGGACAAGAGGCTGAGTCCAGAGAGCTGGTGGACCGCTTTGTGTTAAGGTGTGGGAACAATCATCTCATCTTAATCGTGAATAAAACAAAGGAGATGATTGTAGATTTCAGGAGGAACAGGGTTAGATCAAATCCTGTTTCCATCATGGGAAAAGAACTGGAGGTGGTTAAGGAATATAAATACCTCTGTGTTCATCTGGACAACAGACTGGACTGGAGACACAACAGTGAAGCGACAGAGCAGACTGGACTACAGACAGACTGTGGAACCTCTGGAGATGATGATGCAAAGAAGGAATCTTCATAAAATCAAGAAAATTATGGACAACCCTGACCATCCTCTTCACGATACTGTCTTGAGAAAACAGATTTTCTTCAGTCAGAGGCTTCTTCACATTTGCTGTAATATAGACGACTAAGAGATCTTTCCTGCCAACAGCCTTCACCATCTGCAATAACTCTTTGAATAAGTGAGTTACAACAACATTTAATTTCCCTTTGGTATTAATAAAGTATTTTTTAATTTTGAATTGAATTTGAAATGAATTAAGGCAATGCTGTTACAGGAGCAGATAGATTAATTAAAGCCATCCTGCTTTCACAGATCCAGATTAACTACTGTATTATTTTTGCATTACTACTCTATGAATTGTGTTTTAATTGTACACAAGTATCAGGTTTTACCTGAGAAGTGCTTACATAAATGAATATTCCCTCCTCACTATTTAGACAGATAATAGCTTACTGTACTGGTTATTACTCCATGAAGAGCAGAATGACCAGTAATACTATCATGCACAACACAAACTGCTGCAGATCAGTGGATAAGATGGCTTTCACATGTGCCAATTGGGCAATCATCCAAAATTCAGGAAATTTGTTCAGATTTGCTGCGGACCCATAATTAATGCTGCAGAACGTAACTTTTACAAACATATGCAGGCTATGTACTGGTGAACCAGCTGTAGCTTATAGCAACAAGCAAGTGAGAGAATGTGAGTATGAGAGTGACTGACAGCATTAAGACCCTCCTCCTGGCTCTGATTGGTTATTTCTGACTGAGTGATGAATTTCTGCAGTTAGTTCTAGGAGCAGTGGCAGAAGGCAGAGGAGCCATAAATTGTACTCTAACGACATAATAGTTATAATGTTAAATAAGTAAAAACCATATTTTTTAAATAAAAAATATATACTGCAATTTAAAAAAAAAAGAAGGAAGGTTTTTTTTTCTATGCTGTAACTGAAGGGAGAACAACTGCACACTGGTGAAAACAGGGGAACATTGCTCTCATCTTCAGGACTTGATCTTGATTTGTGTTTGCTTCATGAATCCAGAGCAGAAATACAATGAAGAGTGGCAGTAAAACATGTGCAAAAATGGAGGAGATTCTCCCTGAACAAAGTCTCTTTGCTGCCACACTCACAGTTCTCTGTGCTCAGGCTGCAGCACACAAACAAGCAGCTAAATACTTTGAATACATACGGTCGCATTTCATGCCCTGGTGTATCAGCCCGTACAGGAGGGAGCCGCAGTGGTCACAGAAGGTGGGGCTGGAATAGGTGTGGACCCGAAACTTGTGTTTACTGCGAGGATCCTGGAGGAACATAAAGAATCAATCAATCAAGTTTATTTGTACCGTACATTTCAGTAACAAGGCAGTTCAATATGGAGAGCCATTTCAGCCAAAATTAAAATGGGTGAAATAAATAAGCAAATGAGTAAAATAAATAAATAAATAACAAAAATGAGTGAAATAAATAAAAAATGAGTTAAATAATTGACATTTTTATTCCCATTTATATTTGTTAATTTAAATGTTTTATTCCTAGATTAATTTAACCATTTTTATGTTCCCATTTTTGTTTGTCCAATTTTAATTTTTCCCTTTTTGTTGACCCATTTTTCATTTATCCCTTTTTTATTAATCTATTTTTCATTTCATTTAACCACTTTTCAATTTTCCGTTTTCCTTAACCCAAATTTTTATTTATTTATTTTTAATATTATCAATTTTTCAATTTCCCATTTTCATTTATCTAGTTTTCATTTATCACTTTATCCCTTTTTCATTAATCCAATTTTCAATCTCCCAGTTTAATTTATAAATTTCTCATATTTCTCTTTTTTATTTAGCCATTTTTCCTTCAACTATTTTTCATTTAACATTTATTTGAAAAATGTATAATTTTCCCATTTTCCAATTTCCCTTATTCATTTGGTATTTCCTTATTTTCTTATTTATGGGTTAGGGTTAATATGATAATGAGGGGCGGGGTCTTCAGACTACAATGGCAGCCTATTGGTCGATTAGATACAACTGCAGCGCAGACCTTTTTCACGACAACTGGAAGCTGCATCTGAAAGGGCTGGGGTGCTTCCTGTTTTTGTGACTGTAATTCACATAGATATAATATATCTTATATTATGTCTATGACAGTGGTTCTTAACCTTTTCTGAGGTACCGAACCCACCAGTTTCATATGTGCAT